TATATACAAATATAATAAATTTACGATTTTAAAATTATGTCTATAATAGTGCATTAGTCCTTGGAATAAACGAAAGTTTATGCCTATTGGTATGAGAGAAGAACTGCGGTAGAGTTCTTGGAGTTCTTAGATTATATGTTGTCGTCACAATATCTGGTATGTATTTCCTGCAAGGGTGCGTTTCATTATCCATAATTTTCTTGTATTCACGTATGGCGAGCATGTCACGACGCTGTTCAAGAGACTGAAATGAATCAGACGGCAGAGCAAGTATTTTTAGACTTCGAGTTTGAATGTTCTCCACCTCATCTATTAAATATTGTGGTAAACCACTCCAAATTGGGGCTGCATATTCCAAAACCGGCCTAATTTTCGTGAAGTAACAAGTTAAACCTACTTCCGTCGGTAGGTTTGCTCGGCGGCATTCCCGGAGGTGGAATAAACGTTTGTTTGCCTTTTTAGTAATTTCTTCAACGTGTGTGTTCCATTTAAGGGTATCGTTACACCAAAGGCCCAGCAGCTTGAACGTTTTTACTCTTTCAATTGTATCATTACCAATCATAAGTGAAGGTGGTGCAGGAATTCCTTCTTTGAAGCAAATCCACATATCTTTAGTCTTTTTTATATTAAGTTCCATCTTGTTTCTAAGTGCCCAGTCATTCGTTGCATCTAACACCGTTTGCATGTTGCCAGTGGAGCAATATGAGATTGCCTCATCCTGAGTGCAATCATCTGCATATTTGTATGTATTAATCTGCAAATGGTTGGGAATGCAATCTTCAAGATCGTTAACATAGACATTAAACATTGTTGGTGAGATGACAGAGCCCTGGGGGACTCCAGAAGGACAGGACCTAATAGATGATAAACTCGCACCTATTTTTACTCGCTGGCTTCTTCCTTCTAAGAAACTCTTCGTCCATAACCAAAAGCATTTAGATACATTCATTTCAGCTAATTTTCTTAGGAGCAAGCCATGGTCAACCATATCGAAAGCTTTACGAAAATCAATAAATAAGGCATGAATTCCCATTCTTCCATCCCGTGAATTTTCGGTCTTATTGTACCAATTTTGGATAATACTCGCTAACGCAGATACTGTTGATCTTCCTTTTGTAAATGCATGTTGATTATCTTTGATGTTAAGGTCATTTTTATTCAGTTTAAGTTGTATGGTTTCCAAGATTTTTGCCATTTGCGGTAATACAGAGATTTGCCGGAAATCATTGTCAATATCATTCGGGGGGTATACTTTGGGCACAGGGGTGACCAATGCGTGCTTATAGAGAGTCGGGTATTTGGACTGGGAAATGCTAGAGCAGATGATATTATGAATAATAGGGGCAAGCTCTTCACTGTAACGTTTCAGTAGCCATGCAGGAATGTCGTCCGAACCGCTTGCTTTCTTAGGGTTTAGGTGTTTGAGAATTGCCTTAATTTGTCCAATCGAAGGTAACAGCGGCTTGGTATCTTTGAGTAAATGTTCAATTTCCTCTAGTTTTGGTTTTTCATTAGGAGTGGTGCTCTGCCAAGGCTTGGTAAAACTTTGTTGTAAGCGTTCAGCTAGGTCATCTGTGGGGGCTGCTGAAGATTGGAAGTTACAATCATTAGCAGCCACAAGTTCATATATAATTTTATACCACTTTGCTGGGCTTGTTACACGTGTATCTTCCGCTTTCGATTGATAATACGTTTTCTTAGCACTAGATATAAGTGAAGAAACTTTGTCACATAATAATTGGTATCTTGATCTGTTCCCTGACGTAAACGCTTTTTGTCTGGCCTTTATTTCTTGCTTTATACGCGGGGTCATCCAAGGTTTATCTGAAGGATGAAAACGTACAGTACGTTTGGGCAGCGTTTTATCAAGAATACGCGTGATCATACTTGTGAATTTCGAAACTTTATCGTCAATCTCATCAGCATCATAAACCATTTCCCAGCTTTGCCTGTTCAGATGGACACTCAGATCGATTAAGTTACTACATTTTGTCAGGCGTACTTTTCGGGAAATCGCCTTCACTTTTTCTTTCAGCTTTGGGGTGAGTAAGAGACACTGATGGTCCGAGCGGCCAATCGGCGGGAGATGTTGGATGTCATTGTAAAATTCTGACATATTAGTAAGGATTTGATCTAAAATATTTCTGCCCCTAGTAGGAGCTCGTACAACTTTGCAAAGGTTAAAGCGCCTACATACTAGATTCAGTTTCATTTTGTTAAAATCTCCGGCGATGATTATACCTGCTGAAGGATGGTCCTTCAGAATTTCATCAAGTCCATTTGTGATATACTCGAGCATTGCTCTTTCATCTTCCATCGTCTGACCTGGTGGGTAGTATACACTAATAACTATTATGGCACTATAAGGCCTGGGAGTTCTAGGCGGTTTAAGCAGGAGCCATAAGACTTCTTTATCTTCCACTTCAAGATTTGTAAGACGGGTAGTAGGCATTTGATGGTGCACATAGGCTAAGACACCGCCACCAGGGGTAGGGCGGTCTCGTCGATATGCGTTGAACTTCTCACTAATTTCTATAGCAGCATCCGGAATATTTGAGTTCAGCCAGGATTCTGTAATTATGACCAGAGATGGGTTATTGACAGCAGCGATTCCAGAAAGTTCTGTAATTTTATTTGTCACATGACATGCATTGGTTAGGAGTATAGATGGAACTGAGTAGGTGCTAGGTGGCATAACTAAGTTACTTTTCGTTAAAGAAATTGGCACTAGATTACAACGATATTTTTGAGCATTATATCTCAGTTTTGTAGTGGGTCTATGCGAAGAGATTCGGACTGGAATTGAGTTCACCATTTCACTAGAGGGTGCATCATCATCATCTAGTTCATTTCCTGCTAAAAATGTCTTGGAGGAGTAATAAACACCCTTCTGAACCAGCGGGTGGGGGTCTTGTCTTAGCGTCTTGGAGGTGTCATTGGGATCGACGCCAGAGGTGGTGGTAGGTATGGAAGTGGAGGTTGGTATGGGGATAATAGTGGATACGAAGGGGGCAGGAAAGGGGGGTAATGAACTGACTGGAACGGGGGAAAATGACGAAAATTGAGAGGAAAAGGGGGCCAATTAAAATTGGGTTTTTGAGGTTGTAATGAAGAGGCATGGTTTTCCGTATTTTGAGGATGACGTCTGATTGTAGGGTCATTGCCTTGGGTATGGAGGAAATCACAATTATTGCCTTTAAGGCAAAAGCCCTTCCTACGTACAAAAGGGCAGGGAACCAGATGTTTGGGGGTTTTAAATTTATCTAAATGATTAGGCGCTTGACTGATTACTGTGTTATTTTGCTGAATAATGTTCCTGCTTGCATTAAGATGACTTGCTTCGCACACTTCGTTAACTTCAATTGTATTCTGCTCATTATTTATCTCTTCTTCTGCAGTAGCAATACCTTTTTGCATATAATTAAGCGGATTTCCATCGTTTTTCTGATTTTTATCTATATTTTCTTGAAGGTTTGTAAGAACTTCGGTTATATGTACCAGAGAATCAGATAGTGCACGAATGGCTTCGGTATTGATAGCCTGTCCGGCCATAAGCGCTTCAGTATCCAAGCTGTTAGCATTACTTTTGTGAACACGGCCTTGCTGAGTATCAGTTTCGCTTGAGTTAGCTGAGTCGTTTACGACAACCACATCATTCTCGAAGTCGTTTACAGCGACATTTTCAGCGAGACTTTGACTGAGCATAGAGCAAAGAAGCTTCGTAATTGCATCCGCCTCTGCTCCTTCGAGATGTAGTAGGTTCTTGCTCCTTCTCCATTTGATTAAAATATTGTTCGATTTAAATACTTTCTGGTCGCCGCCTGGCCTGCTCCCACACACCGTCAATATTTAGATCTTGACTTACGAAATACTTCAAGGATTCGTAGTCACCGTTCCAAGCAAGGCGTAGATTGTTTACTGGAGATGACATTATGCATTAATCGTATAATCACAAACGAAGAGGCGATAAAATGAGATTTCCAACTAGGCTGAAATAAACACGTCCGTTCACAAAGACCACTTAAACAAAAATCGCTGAAATCGAGATGCCCGTCAAGAATATAGGGCTGCTCGCTTCGCTCGCAGCAATAATCTCGGATACCAGGGACACCTTATATCAAAAGGTTTTAACCGCTTTAGCTGGTAGGGTGACTCTGGGGGTAGGGAAAACTTTTATCTATGTTTATAGCACTTTGTCTTCGCCTTCAGGGTTAACTTTTCGACGCATACGCAATAGCGAACGGAACATTTCTTAAAACAAACACTATCGCATCCTATCTGCTTGTAGTGGTTGGCGATATTTCTTTAAAATATCGATACTTTCGATACTAAGAATTTGGTTCTTGGTATCGATACTATTTTTCAGTATCGATGATTTCGATATTAGGTTACGTGAGGATTACATGGAGTATTTCAGACCTATTAAGCATTCTTCACGCTGCCCACCGATTGAGATCGACGGGGAACCCGCGAACGGGAGGCTGCGAGGAAGACCACGATCTGCATAAATTAGGTGAAAAGTGCCAGTATCGATATCGGTATCGTATCGAAAATATCGATAAAAAAATATCGATATCGTATCGAATCATAAAATCCCAGTATCGCCCACCACAATCTGCTTGCAATTTTATCATATAAACTGCTGGTACCCGAAAGCTGGTACCGGATATCGTATAAACAGCGCCTTAATTAGTGAAAAGCCAATATTTCAGCTAAAAGGTCAAGTATGTTAAAAGAATGAAGGGTTGAATTGTTTTATTTGTTTATGTTCGAGCAAGTCTCTTCCAAGAAATTCTGGCAGTAAAAGATGAGCAATGTACAGCAGAAATTATACTTATGCATCGCAACAGAACAATTGTTTATCATGCAACGCAACAGAACAATCGTTTAAATTACGATCTCTTTAATTTTAAGACAGAAGAGGATGTGAAATCTCATGAATTAGCCAATAAAATAGCAAATATTAAGGGGTGTTGCATTACAAAGGCATCAGTCGCCGAGCACGCGTAAAATGTAAATTCCTCCCATGTGAATGAGCAGATAACCTCATGATAAACACGGTTTGTCGAGAATTGTGGGGTGACAAAACGAAAGCCTTGATCGAAAGTCTAAAGCAGTATGGCTAGTGCACCAGATTCTGCTACTGTAAAGCAAATGGAAACACTGTTAGAGTGTTCTGTTTGTATGGAGACATTAACTCAGCCACGGACATTGTCATGCTACCATTCATTTTGTAAACACTGCTTGGAGAATTATGTCGCCGTTCAGCGCGAGAAGGCTGTTGAAGCTGAAGAGAAAGTACCAGAAATCTTTGACTGTCCATTATGCCGCACGGAGTTTTCAGTCAAAGAAGGGGAAAATATTGGCGAGAAAATGCCAGCAAACCACTTTATTAACAACCTGTTGGAATTGCTCAGCATACAGCAACAAGTCTCTCATGTAGAATGCCAGTCGTGTAAAGCGAACGCTCCTGCGGCGAGCAGATGCATATCGTGTGAGAAATATCTGTGTCATAAATGTCTGGATGTCCACAACAACTGGCCTGACTTTGAGGATCATGTCCTTTTGACGTTGGAAGAACTATCTAAACCAGAAAACCGAGCGAAGGCGAAAGCCAAACCTCGTTGTGAGAAACACGACAAAGTTCTGAAGTTTTACTGTGAAACATGCGAAGTCCTTGTTTGTCGATACTGCATGGATCTTAATCACACTCGGCCCGAACATGCATGGTTTCCTTTGGCAGAGGTTGTTGTACAACGCAAAGAAGCGTTAAACGCATTTTCCGGTATATTTGAGAAGCGAAAGAACGGCGCAGCCGAGAGTAATCGTAAGATTGAGGAGGCAATGGTGACCCTGAAGAAAAACGCTACAAAAGCAAGAGACGCCATCAAGCAGCAGCAACAGAATATCCTGAATGCGTTCACCAAGAAACTCGAGAAAGAAACGACAGCCTTGCTTGACCAAGTTGAGATAAAATACAGGGAAGCTAAAGAGCTTCTCTTGAAACAACAAACCGACGTGAGAGCCCATTTCGAAAAAGCAAAAAGTTTGTTGGATTTTACCAGCAATATTCTTTGCAGTGGAAGCGACGAGGAACTCCTTTCTCTCAAACACGAGATTGAGGAAAAAGCTGGAAGCATTGAGAATGAACGAACAGACTTTATGAAGCCAGTCCACGATGGCCTTCTTGAATATCTTCCAAAACCAACCAAAGATATTATGGAGAATTTGAACTTAAACAACTTAGGAAAAATTGGTATGTGTATATAATAGCTACTACTTAATACTAGAATTTCTTCTTATTATTGTAATAACTGCGTTGTTGTGAGTTTCGCTTTAGACCCTGTATATTGTAATATTAAATAGCTATTCCCACTAATCTAGCTAAGCTTCACAAATATTCCTTGAAAACTTTTCATTAGCACAAATTTTTGACATGGTGATTTGCATATAAACTAATTTGCGTATAACTTCAACAATAACAGCCTTTAACTTTTACTATAAATACATATAGCAAAAGTACATCACCTAAAATTTGCCGTTACCCTGGATGTTGCCCACTGTTTGCACAACGCTTTGATGATCGAATTACTTACCTTGTCTGTTTCTACGTTCCGGCAACTGACTGTGTCCAAATGTATATATACGCTTTGTATGGTTGAACTGCCTTATGAGACTGATAATATTTTTAATGTGCGACTGCAGAAAAAATCTGGGCCGCACAGGAAATTCATATTAGGAATACGAAAGACAATATATTTAACAGAATTTCTTGGCATATTACACGTCAATTCATTTAAATTTGGCGCACTGCAGAAATACCAAAGGTAAAAGATTCGGTTACTAAAATGTTTCTAAATGGCTGTTCTATCCATCTAGAGGTCGGTGCTCTAAGTCTGTGGCTCTGACGTTACGACAGTTCTGGGCCCCCTATACTTTACGAGAAACGTGGCTATTGTATTCCTACGCAATATTTAAATAACTAATAGAAATAATTTGGCTTAGCTTTTCATTCTTTGTTCAAAATACAAACAAACATACCATGAGACCTTGTACTCTATTAGCGCTTGACAGATCAGTTAAAATAACTTATCTTAATCTTATGAAAACAACTATAGTTGTAATGGTAACACAGAAAAACATATAACTAAGCCTTATTTTGTTACAAATAAATATCATTTTAGTTAACCCTGTTGTGGTACAGTCCTTGTCTGAAAGATCAACCATCTTGGAAGGTAACATTGACCATGCTAGGCAACTTGTAGAGTGGATGAGAGACAAGACGTTTGGTTGGCACCTTTGTTATCGAGCTTCATGTGATGACTGGGAAGGAAGAGATTTTCATAGAAAGTGTGACGATGTCGGATCAACCTTAATCTTGGTGAAATGTGGGACAAACATCTTTGGTGGTTTTACTGATCAAAGTTGGAAGTCGTCAACAGGTATAATTTGCACTAAACATATCGCGCACCAAATACTGGACATTGGTCAATAAAAATTCTTTAGAGGCTTGCTTCAACGAACATTTACGTCTCTGAGCTCGATGAAATTTGCATTATAGGATTTTTATTTTCTTGTTTCCTGAATCAATTCTCTTAGATATGAATCATTGTTTATTAGGAACCACTTATTAATCCAATGCTATACAGACTGATCTTCAGTCTATATGTTCCAATATGACTAGGGAGCAGCGTGACAGCGTCTTCAAGCATCAAATGTGGTATAACAACCGCCTAAAACAGACAAGAACACTTCTCGACGTTTCGATCTGAGGGTCTTCGTCAGGAGAGTTGGTATGAAAATAAATAGCGAGAACACATGTTTTGTATTGGGGCAAAACACGTGATAAAAGTGGGCCAATAGAAAACAAAAAATCAAAACAAGAGGGATGGAGAGTGCCAAGACTGTGTTCTCCCTCTTTATTTTCATACCAACTCTCCTGACGAAGGCCCTCAGGTCGAAACGTCGAGAAGTGTTCTTGTCTATCTTAGGCAGTTGTTATACCACATTTGAAGCTATGATCTTCAGTATAGTTGAATTCTATACAACAGACCGCAATCTGAAATTTTCTTTGTACAGGCCGAGCAAGTATCCCACATGAAAAAACTCTCTTCGCTAAAAAACGAAACATTTTTATCTCTTGTTTCGCCAGGGAAAAGAATTCGCTTGGAGTGAATATTTTTCGCTGTTGTCGAGTTGTTTTTGGTTTAGTACCTACTAAAAATAATTTTCTTACATTTTGGAGTGTATAATAACCGGACCAGTCGGCAGCCAATTAAGAAGCACCATTTTTGTCATAATAAGGTTCTGTCATCAAATCAAGATTAATTTCCTGGAATTTTTTTTAACTTGGACTGGAATTTAGTGAGATTGTAATCTAAAAATTTGGGTTCGTTTAAATGTCACTCCAAGTTTGTTAAATATATCCTAGTCTTTAACAAGTCTTCATATAATTTTTCTCATGTAACATTGTCTTTGATAAAATTACGTCTCGTATATCACCCAAAATCAATATATTTCCTATTTCGTTTCAGCTTACGGGGAGTATAAACGTTCCAACTCGTCATATCTGTTTTCCTTGGTCAATAAAGAGAATATCCGGCCATTCAAGTGTTTGATCAAAGTTGGTCAAAATGACAAAGCAATCAGCTGTCAACGTGACTTGAGTGCAATCTTTGGTAGCCGTGATTGTGATCTGTTCATCAGCTCTAATGCCAACACAAACCAATATTCATTCAGCGTCCTTGGTAACACATATCAACCTCCCCCAGGATTTGAACCTGGAGCACCTCAAACGAATATTCTCCTGGCAGGCAGCTTAAAATTTACCCCATCAGAAATTGAAGTTTTTCGGAGTTAAACGTAGGTAAAATTAATGGATGGCAAGCTATTATTAATGCTTACGACAAGCATGAAATCTCTAACGATCGATTTTTTTTATTTCTGTAACAATAGCTTATTTTACCAGAAATAAAATATAAAATATATTAAACACCTATTAGACCTGCATGTGATGCAGATTTATGAAAGCAAACTAACGACTAAAACTGGCCACCGTCAGTCGTCACATTTCAAGAAAAACTAACTCAGCCATGCAAAAGGAGGATGATCATTGATCACAGCCGATCGAGGTAGTCCTGCGATTGTGCTCAAACAAGACTGAGAGGTCCATGACGTCCATCTTGTATTGAGGAAACTTCATACAAAATAAGTTCCCAAATAGGCAGAGCCCCTTTTCGCTTCTCTCCTGAAAGTCGGAGTCGCACAACTATGCCCAAACTGCTAAGAAAATTAACCGCACCACTATACCAAAAAATCCGTTTGAGATAGTTTGTTTTAGGTTTTGGAAGTGATGGACCGGTATCGTTGCTTCACAAATTACAGTCTCAAGCTTTTTGTGGCAAGAAAAAAAAATTGTTTGTAAGTCTAGATCATGAACAATTTCGACGAAGTCCTTTCAGTCGAAAATTAAGATGATTTCTCAGTTGTAGCTATCTTTTTGGCTGCTATATTGAACAGATTTGTCTTTGATGATATAGTGGTTATAGATTAATAATTAATTATTGATCCACATCACCAAACCGCTATTAAATGCATACTAATATATCTTGGGTGGAGTCATATAAGTGAGTGGTATATATAATATAAGTGTTTTAGTCTATATAAGATAAGTGAGAAATGATGCTTCAATTTACGATGATTCAATTTAAATTAAAAAATCCTTTTTTTGAAATCTCTGAGGAACCCATTGCAGATTGCAGTCAAATATATTCGTGCATGTTGAACCTTCAAACTAAAACTTGTATTTGTTGTTCGGCATGCTAAATTTAAAGTATGTTTATGTTCTCTGGAATGTTATGCATGGTTAATTTTCATGTCACTCTACATATATGTATAGACTAAGATTGAAAATTGCGGTTAAGTTATAACATAACATACAACATGACTAATTTCGTTGGATGGTTTAATGATAGAAACATCTCGTTTGTACAACCACGTTGGTAAACAACAATTCTCTAAGAGACTGTAGATACGAGGCCATATAATATATTGATCAGCACACAGAAATGATTTTATAATATAACATTTATAGTACGCGCGTGCTGATTGGTCGAGAAGCGTGTTTCTATAACTGTATAGAAACACGGGAATTTTCCCGCCGAACTTGACAAGCGAAGCGATGTAATGAGAATTTGTAATTGAATCGAATTATAATATTTGTACAAAATCTTTTGATTGAGTTATATTATAAAAGAAATAGAAAACATTTTTTCCTGTGTTTCTATACAGTTATAGAAACACTTGTGGGAGTTTGGGAGAACTCGAAATAACGTGGAAAAACTCGCCCTACGGGCTCGTTTTCCCACTGATTATTTCTCGTTCTCCCAAACTCCCACGCGTGTTTCTATAACTGTATAGAAACATGGAAAATGTTTTCTATTTCTTAAATATTGACACACTGGTTTTAATTTTAATTTGAATAGTGGGAGACTTTTGCGGAAGTTCTAAAATATAATGTTGCTAAGTGACCTTTATATTAAGTGAATTTATTTTCTTCAACCAATGAGAACGACGTGCGTATAATGCATTCTTAGCGGGGTCCAGAACAGCTTACTGAAAACATTTCCTGGTATTTAAACAATAACAAAATTCCGTAATAAATGTTATATGTGAATATTCCGTTAAATGCGAAAGTCTACTATTACTCCGCCAGGCAATAATTATTATATATACAAAGTATGGCTAGAGCAGCAGATCCTGCTCCTACCAAACAAATAGAGGATCTTCTGACGTGCTGCGTTTGTACAGAAACGTTGGAAGAACCAAAGACGCTTCCCTGCTTTCATTCATTCTGTAAGAAATGTCTCGCGAAATATATTGAAGTTCAACGTGAGAAAGCCCAAAAGGAACAGGGAGCCCAGCATTTGTTTGACTGTCCTATGTGCCGAACACAGTTCGAACTGAAACAAGGCGATAGTGTGGAACGAATTCCGCCAAATTATTTCATCAACAACTTGTTAGAAATACTGCCAGTCATACGACAACAAACACAAAAGCTACGTTGTGAATCTTGCAAAGCTCAAGCACAAGCAACATGCAGATGTATTGAATGCGAACGATATCTGTGCAAGAATTGCTTGACAGCGCACAAAAACTGGCCAGACTTCGAACAGCACCTTGTGATGACATTGGAGGAATTGGCGAAACGTGAGAACCAAAGCAAAGCGAAAGGAAAGCCACGTTGCCAAAAGAAAGGCCACGGAGATAAATATCTTGAGTTTTATTGCAATACCTGTCATGAATTGGCGTGTATGAGCTGCGTTGTCTTAAACCATTCCAAAGCTAACCATGACTATCATCCTATTGACGCAGTGGCTGAACAGCACAAAAAATCTTTGAAAACAACTTCCGCCATTTTACAGAGGACGTCTAACGAAGTTAAAACAACCTTACAAAAAATAAATCACGCCACTGAAAGACTACAAGTCAACACCAAAAGAGCTAAAGATATGATCCTGGAACAAGAAAAAGAAATCTTGCAAAAGTTAACTCAGAAAGTAAAACACAACACAGCAGTCTTGCTTGGGGAAGTCGACAGAGCGCACAACATAGTGAACCAAAGACTTGTACAACAACATGACGAGATGAAAGCTTATCACGAGAAGGTGAATGGTTCACTGGATTTTGCAAAGAATATTATTGAAAAGGCAAGCAATGATGAAATCCTTTTACTTGGTACAGAAATCCAGGTTAACGCCAAAGATATAAAGAAGGATTGTCCAAAGATGAAGAAACCAATTCATGATGGTTTGATTGTATACCTTACAAAAACAACGGAAACTATTGTTGGCAACTTAAACTTGAATGAATTAGGAGAAGTGGGTAGGTTAATGTAAAATCTATTTCCAAACATTGTCAATTACAATTACTCCTCATAGTCTACCCATGCATGAGTTTCTAAGAGAATCTTACACAAATCGGGTAAAGTTTACCTTACTTTTGCCCCCCGCCGTGCCCAAAACGAAGGAAAACAGTCCTCTGCTCGCAGGGCACAAAATGTATGCAACATTTTCAGATATTGCAGAGTCGTGGTCTGCATCAGGCAACTCCTTAAGGTAACAGGCTAACGATAAATCGAGACCTTGAAGAGAACTTTCTAAAGCGCTTCGGTGATGAAACCATGCAAGACGGAAAAGTGGAAGTCTCCATTCAGTTGCCATTCACGATACTGTTAGAAAACTGAAATAATTGTGTTTGTTTTTTACAGCCTGTGATCGTCTGCCGTTGAACGGTAAGTATATATTAACTAATCTTGAATTATATTGACATGTGTGTGATATGTGTTTTTGTGCATTTGCGACTAACACACTTTAAAACCAATAATTCTAGCTGATCGTGGTTCTATACATTATTAAGGCCGGCGCACACTAGAGCTATGTGCTTAGCAAAAAGTCATTCGTGGCCATTGGCGTAAGCCAGTTGCTCTCGTGTGCGGGTGACTTTTCCGGCGACTTTGGTCATTCGTGCCACTTACGGCAAATATCTAGCATGTTTGATAATTTCTGCCTCGCGTGCCGAAATCTTTCCGTGTGCGGCAAACTGAAAGCTATCTGCTTATGGATTGTCTTAACAGCGCATGCGTCATATACAAAAGTAAATATCCAAGATGGCGTACAGATTGCAAAAACAAAGTTATGGATGAAAATGAAGACGAAGAGATGTCGTTATTTTTGTTGCTGTTGCGTAGGACTAGACTAAACACCGTTATCTAAGTGCTATTAATTATATTTCTGCAAAGCGCATTCCCGTTTCTTTCTGTTTCTGAAATCTGCAGAGTTCACATCATATAAACAACTGTATTCTGACCAAAGATCAACCAGTTTGTCTTCCAATATGGCCTCAGCCACCAATTCGTTTTGCTTTGTTTGCACCGCTATCTTTGATGTTTATTTTTGTATATGACGCATGGGCTGTTAACACAATCCATAAGCAGATAGCTTTCAGTTTGCCGCACAGGGAAAGATTTTGGCGCGCAAGGCAGAAATTATCAAACATGCTAGATATTTGCCGTAAGTGGCACGAATGACCAAAGTCGCCGCAAAAGTCGCCCGCACACGAGAGCAACAGAACTTTGCTAGCGGTTTGACGTTTACGGCAAACGCCAAACCGCTAGCAAAGTTTGTGTTTTAACTTCACTCTCTTAAGTGTGCGGCAATTTCGCTAAATTACAAACGTTCTACATAAAACTTGTGACGTTCAGCAGTAATGTAAGGAAGCAACAGGTTAGAAAAGCAGCAAATTCAGCTTTGCCGTATAAAATTTAATGCTTGAACGGCTGAAGGTGTATGCAGTCGTTCAAGCATTAAATTTTATGCGGCGAACGTGAAACACATACGGCAAAGCTGAATTTGCTGCTTTTCTAAATACATCAGGAATAGCCTGTTGCTTTCTTACATTACTGCTGAACATCATCATCATGTAGAACGTTTGTAATTTAGCGAAATTGCCGCACACTTAAAAATAGTGGAGTTAAAACACAAACTTTGTGAGCGGTTTGGCGTTTGCCGTAAACGTCAAACTAAAGGTCTCTAGTATGTTTTTCGAACTCAAAATTTGAGGTGTTGCATTTATGGGGTTTAATATTATGCACAACCGTAATTGGATAAGTTGCATAATTTGGACGATCGTTCGATAACGATGTTACGACTAAATAAGTATAAGTAGAAACCATGTACTTTAAAAAGGACACAACATTTTTTACCCTCTTAGTACAATCTTCATGTGAAAGATCAACTATTTTGGAGGGTAACATTGAACATGCAAAGCAACTTGTAGAGTGGGTGAAAGATAAGAAGTTTGGTTGGCAACTTTGTTATCGAGCTACAACTGATGGTTCGAGTGCAGAGGATTTTCATAGAAAGTGTGACGATGTTGGACCTACAGTGACCTTAGTGAAATGTGGAACTAACGTTTTTGGTGGTTTTACTGATCAAAGTTGGAATTCATCGCCATCATGTATAGGTACATTTCATTCGAGATCACGACGTCATCAGGGGCCTTGACAAAACTGAGCTATCATGTGCCTGGAGTCATTTGTCTCCGTTCTTCCAACTGATAGCATCATGGAGGGAAATTCTAAATTTCATGCAATTTACATTTGAGTACACAAAGCGTGTTTTCGCATAAGGATAAAAAATTACCTCAAATTTTTCAGTGCTGAAGTCATATGAAATGAAGGAAATAATAATTTAGCTTTGTCAAAGACCTGGCTTCTGATTAACAGTTTTTTATACTCAGATCAGCTGGTTTGTGAAAGGGCTTATTTTCAAGACGATGAAAAATTAGTGTGTATTCGATTCGCAAACTTTTCTGTCTCTACTATTAGATTAATTAGAATGAATTGAATTTCGGACTGAGCAGACCGCGAACGAATTCTGTAGTGTACACAATCATTTTCGACGATCACTTACGTTCCCGGAGCTAGGAAACTTAATATAACTCCAAGTCACCTCTTCTTCTCAGGACGGTATGCTCTTTATGTTATCAATTTCAATCACAAAACCATACATTTCCTTTATTTCTCTGATGAGAATCTTGTGTTTGATAAAATAACCTGACTGTTCATCTTCGTTTATCTGATTTACTCAAAAATATATAAATATCTTTTCTTTTGTTTCAGATTTTGGGCAGTATAAACGTTCCAACTCGTCATTTCTGTTTTCTTTGAAAAATAAAGAGAATATTCGGCCATTCAAGTGTCCGATCAGGGATGGTCAAAATGACAAAGCAATCTGCTGTCATCGTAACTGGGGAGCAGCCTTTGGTGGTGGTAGTGATCTGTTCATCAGTCACAAAGCAAACCGAAACAAACATTCATACAGTAATCTTGGTAACACATATCAACCTCCCCCAGGATATGAACCTGGAGCCCCAGAAACCCAAGCTCTCTTGGCGGGCAGCTACGAATTCACTCCATCAGAAATTGAAGTTTTCCACAGTTGAACGAAGGTAATTAGCATAATATTAGAAATTTCAACGGCGTTCTGAATTTATACTTACACCTCAGCGGTTACATGCACAAGTTATTTAATATATTAAACATTTAAACACAGCAATGTCTTGACAAAGCAGACAAAGGACTATAAACTGTTGGCTATATCATTTTAACACTCATTCGAACCCTGGAAATGAAGAATGACGACTGTTGAAAAAAGTAGCTTAGTGTTGGTGACGAAACACGGTCGGGAAGGAAGTTTCCAGTTTTTTTACAACTATTTTCAATGCCTTTTCCTACCACATTCCACTGCAAACGCACATCTGGGGAATGTTTCAAGAAGCATAAGTTTGACAAAACGTAACGTTCTTAAGTGAGACGCTATTTTCAACTCGTTAAATGACAACTAATGAGTATTTATATTTCTTATAGGTTAAAAAAACATCTCAATTTTACGCAGCTGATATACTGCATTAAGACATCAGAAAATATTTCTAATGGGAACGATTAATCTAAATATTTCTATTTCAATGACAACAGTAGATAATGGTATACGAAAACGACAGATGTGGTCAGTAGTGTGGAGCAAACCTTAGGAGACCAATAAAACACATGGTAGATTAAGATTATAGTTCAAAATAGATCAAGTCAAATGAAGTGAAGTCTGAGTTTCACCGAGTCTGTATTATTATTATTATCATCAGGAGCATTTTTATCTTGTCTGGCATAATGCGAATATAGATGAGATTTGAATGAATCTATGAATCTAACACTCTCGTACTCACAGGTAAGCTGTTCCAGGAAACGGTCCCTCGATATGAGCAACTAGCTGCTTTTGAGCAAAGTTGTCGATGGCTTGTCAAGATGGAACACTTTATCATTGTTGCTTCAATCGTAGTTACTGTTGCATGGTGACGGAAAGTAAATAAGTTTGATAAGACGCTAGAAAGCTTTAAATCTTTTGTGGTGGAAGAATTAATGAATGAAAATCTGAAATGGCCATTTTTTAAAATCTTGCTTAATAAAGTCAGAGGAGCAAATATATCCGCGAAAATTATCGGACGTACTTTAAAGATGAAAATCGTTTTGACCGGATTTTAGTTTCAGAGATGTGACCAGTCAGCCTTGTTGAAAACAACCAACAAACCTTTACGAAGCTACTACAAGCGCCAAACAGCAAGCAAACTATTAACAATATGACTATAAAGATAGCCTTTTTTATTTTTCGATTTCTATATAAAAGCCACTCCAACTCCGAGTTTACTCGAATCTAGAGTGAAGCTAAAGCCACGAATCCGCAGTGAACTCTAAGAACCCGGAGCTGAATATCCTGTCACCAAAATGTTTGACTTTCTTATGGCAGCAATTCCAGAACATACCTTTTTACATATATTTCAATGTAGATATCAAATAACAGCATATTGTCTAAGTCAACCCCAAAATACTTTTAACGATTCAATTATATTTTTATTCACTCAATACTTCACTCACTTTCACTTCATGCACTTTCTTTATGGTTCAGATTGTGAGCGGATCCTATCAAAATAAACTTCTTTTTTTTCGTATATGTGACTAGAGTTTATTTGCAGTCACCCAGCCATTAATTCACTGAAACAGAATTGTGGATCAATTAATCAAATATTTGTGTATCATCAGCAAATAAACATAAAAATGTAGATTTTAAACAGTTTGGCAAATCGTTAATACAAACCAAAAACAACAAATGACCTAATATAAATCCTTGGGAATTCCACAAATTATTTTTTTGGTTGAGACTTAACCGTTTATATAACCGAGAGATATAACTGAGAGATAACCGTTTGTTGATTTCGAGAAACCAGATATGTTTTGAACTAATCATATTCTACCCCAGTAATTCCATAATATTTCAGTTTCAAAAGCAGAATCTCGTGCATGATCAATAGAATCAAAAGCAGATAAAGTGGAATAGCCTGGGCTAAAACCAGAAGTAGAGGGAATTGTAAATCATCCTAGGATTGTTTCTCGAACGTACTATAAGTATAGGTAATCAAGTATAATTTCGAGTGCGATTACGGATTAACAAGCACGAGTGAGTTTTTAAAGGCTGCAAAATAGCGCGAGTCCGAAGGACGAATGCATGGATCACAGCTTCACACTAAAAAGCGTGCGCGATTTCTATATAAAAGTTGCGCCTGCTCCGTAGAAATAGGCCTTCTCCGTAGAAATAGGCCTTCTCCGTAGAAATAGGCATTCTCCGTAGAAATAGGCCTTCTCCGTAGAAAAATAGGCCTTCTCCGTAGAAAAATAGGCCTTAATTCTCCGTAGAAGTGGGCCTTCTCCGTAGAAATAGGCTTTACTTAATTTAACCCGATATATAGTGCTAAAAATATGAATGGTATGGAAATTTGAAATAAGGCCTATTTCTATGGAGAAGGCCTACTTCTACGGAGAAGGTCCACTTCTACGGAGAAGGCCTATTTTTCTACGGAGAAGGCCTATTTTCAAGTCTACGGAGAAGGCCCATTTCTACGGCCTTCTACGGAGAAGGCCTATTTCTACGGAGAAGGCCCATTTCTACGGAGAGGGCCCATTTCTACGGAGAAGGCCCATTTCTACGGAGAAGGCCCATTTCTACGGAGAAGGCCTATTTCTACGGAGAAGGCCCATTTCTACGGAGAAGGCCTATTTCTACGGAGAAGGCCTATTTCTACGGAGAGGCCCATTTCTACGGAGAAAGCCCACTTCTACGGAAAAGGCCTATTTTTCTACCGAGGCCTATTTCTACGGAGAAGGCTTATTTCTACGGAGCAGGCGCAACTTTTATATAGAAATCGCGCACGCTTTTTAGCGTGAAGGTGTGTCCCTTATGGGCCATTGTACTATTCACTCCGGCATCAGCGACGGAGTTTAAAATTCGCCTCCGTTTTGTTTTGTTTTTGTTTTTTTTTTCATTTTTCGTCGTTGCAAGTCTGTAATGGCGCGAAGTATACTAGTATTTAAAAGGTTTATGTGACCGTATTTATCTACTTCCCAGTCTTGTCTCCAAAGAGTTGTGGTGCACAGCTTTGGCTATCTTTCCGATGCGCGATTCGATTTCGCTCGCATGACACGGCAATTCCTCCAAGAGAAACAAATAAACCGTTCTTTTCATGCTGTTTGATTAAGTTTAGATTGAATTGGGGTAAGAATATATTTAATACATGTAGATTCTGGTCCTATCAGTTTTAATAATATCGCTGCTATTTCGCCGTTTAACAAGATGATGTGGACATGTGGTCGTGTATGGGCGCGTTGACACGTCGTAATTTGCACAGGATTGAAGATTTAATATAATTATATAAGCGCGAATTCCAAAGGCAAAGTGTAAGACAAGGCGAATATATCATGCGGTTTATTTACATTTTTGAACAATTGAACTTCTATACTTTTTAAAGTACGATGTGCTTCTGAATTTCGCGATCGAACATTTAGGTTCGCAAGGCACTAAATGTGAATATGAACTGTATTGTTAATGTTCAGAAGCTCTATATTGAAGACTGGCACGTGCGCCGGAGTTAACGCCAGAACAGGCGTCTTGTTAATAAGAAACTTAGGCTGACCAAAGTCTATATTCTGTTTTTTTTACTATTCAGGCGAAGCTTGTCATTACATTGGAAAGAAATTTAAATAGAATTCCATTTCTCCCACCGCCTGAATTTAAAGATATCATAAAGGACCTACAAGAGAAAGAATGTCAGTCATCGTGGGCGTGGCTAGTACGCCAATGTAAAAAGGTATGCTTTATTGTGGAAAATATATAGATAACCGATCGGATAATTTTAGAATAAAAATTACCGGTGAAATAAACTTGTTTAATGGAATGCGTATAAGAGTAAAGTTCAATAAATTAGAAGCTTGATTCTTTTTTTTCCGCTAATAAGATTGTCCACCAATTAGCAGGGGTGGAAAAATGTAGCAATTTTTTAAACAGAATTATTTGGTTATTTCTTATCAGTATGACATAAAAAGGTTTGATTAGAAAGCCAAATTTTGCCTAGCTGTTTCTTGCTTTGTATAAATTGTATCGGTAGAGTCAATGTATAATGAATAACGAACAACATATATGCAGGCAAAATGGGACAGCATTTTCTTGAATTTCTCTGCACTATTGTGTACTTTAGAACAAGCGAGAATTTGCCGAACGTGGCCGTGGGGAGTTCCATGTTGTCTCCGTAATTATGAATCTACCTTGGTCTACGTAGACATTCTTTCTCAGATCATTCATAGGGTCTATGATAAAAATTTCTGATTGACAATTCAGGTATACAACGATGATGAAATTGAGGAACAATTAAAAGAAATGGCTGAGAAAAAGAAAGACGATTTTGGAAAACAGTTGAATGAGCTGAAGGAAGAGATCAAAAAGTTCGAAGCGAAGATTGAAAATAAATTACAGAATATTGATTAGAAGCGTTGTTGGTAAACTATCAAAGAAGGGGTTCAGGTCCATTAACAGAACATTTAGAGTGTTTTGTTTGAAGTCAAAAGTTTAATGGATCTTAAAAGATTTTCGTTATTGCTTGAAATTGAGGAATTCGTACGACTTCCTTAATTGAATTGCTTGAAACTTGAAAAATGCATCTCCATGAGTTTGAGACATTATTATTATTATTAGTTTATTAAAATCGTATCGCAGTACAACTGAATTACACGATTATCATAACATACAGTATTAAATATTATAAATACTGAATAGGTTTAAAAAAATATTCACTAGTCTACTTCAATAGCCCGTAGACCGGCTATTGTTTTGGTTTCTTATAGAGTATAGACAATACTCATAGGCGGGTTCGTGAGATTTTTCTTTAACAATATATTGTACTGGGTTACTAAAGTTTGTCTTGGATTCCCTTAACCTATGAACAAACAGCTCGCAAGCCACGTCTCTACAATTTATCAAGGTATCAAGTTCTGTATCAACCAACGCGTCAGCATATGACAACGTCGGGCAAATAATTTTAGGAGCACGGCGCTGGGTAGATTCAATTTCGTCTTAAATAATTATAATCGACATGGATGTTCCACGTGAGATCATTAGACAATTGAACGCCGAGTAACTTGAATGATGACACTAGTTCTATAGGAACGCCTGCGACATAAATAGGACTGAAATAGGTAAAGTTACATTTCAAAAAGCTTATTATCATATCCTTGCATTTCTTTGGGTTAAGCTCTATTCTTCTTTTTATTGCAATCTGGGAAATCTCTTTTACGACTTTGGGAAGTAACTCGGAGAACCCCGCGGGATGATCTCAAAAGCTGTCGAATCGTCCACAAATTTGATACGGCCCTGCCAAGTATTTAGAAGCTGGTTGACGAGGATTGCAAACAAGATAGGGCCAAGTTTGGTACGTTGTGGTAAGCCACCAGTTCTTCCCATGAGGAATAGCAATTGTCAATTTTGACACATTGTTCGCGGTCAGTAAGGAAATCATGGATCCAATAGAGCACTGAGCTGACTCGAGAGCTGCTAAAATTGAATGTAATATAGGTAGACTAGGGCATGGGTTGTGGATTTTCTCGGAAGGGAAAATTTTTTAGAGTCCATTTTGTTAGCAACTCGCGACAACAAGGATTTAAGTGTAAAACCTTCTAGGACTTTTGCCACTTGAAATGTTAAGGCCAATAAGGAATGTGAACATGCTTTACCTAGTCCTGACAAATTTTGAACTTAACAGTATGATTTGTACAGCATACATATAGTATTGCCACTTTTCGGCGTGTTTTGGGTCTTTTTCCAAGTATTTTGTTAATTACTTTGGCTATCCGATGTCAGCAACAAGGAAGACAGTGTGAACGTGGCACATATTACCTAGACTTGTCATAGACCTAGCTGGTCCAGGCCAGATCTAGCCCTAAAGTGCAAACGAGGCCTAAAATTCTCACGTCATTACAAAAAAAACATTAATTGGCATCATAATTTTTTTAATTTAATTTTAGTTTTGCAAAGTTTACAAACTTTTAATTTTTATCTTGTAAACAACGTCAATGCCAGTTGTGACGTAATCAAAACCTAAGCATACTATACTTAAGATGGCGAGCGTGATTAGGGTGAAACCATGGAAATCTATAGCAGTTATCAAAAACATAGGAAGCTGTATGCATTTACTGCCAATAATGTTCATGATTGAAACGAGCCTGAACACAGGCTGATATTCTTGGAGAAAGAGAATGTCATGAAAATAAATAGGGAAAGAAAGGGGAAAGAAATGAAGAAATTTCGGGAGATCGATTCTTTTTCTCGAATGGCGACGTTCTAGGAGAGCCTCAGGTTGCATCATCTATGCTAATGTTACCAGCTTTCTCGTTTATGCAGCTGAGCTCGTTTTCTAAATTCCTGGTCAAACAAAATAAGAACAGGATGTAGAATATGAGTGCCGACATCATTATTATTCTATTATTATTCTCAACTTCCTTTTTATTCTATTTCCATAATTCTATAAACTATGACTAAAGATGCATGATGAATATAAAGGTACTGCATGTGCGTTCACAGATTGCTCCAAGTTCATTATAACACGATTAAACAAGCAAGTGTAGTCATTCATTTAAACTACAAACTTATTTACCTTTTATCATTTACCATGTCTTCCAATTGCTTTTGCTGGCGACGAACGAGAGTTCTTAAATCTTGTATTTCATTTTCATAATGCTCTTTCAACAATTCAGCTGCTCGCTCTTGTTCCTTTACTCTAAAGATTAGAAAGAATAATATCATAAATGTAGGTAATCATACTGTGAAATCTTAAATATTTAAACGAAATATTGGAAACAAGCGATATAACATCGATATGACCAAACCAGAAGGAAGAGCAACAACGTACGCACACCGAGGGCATGACACTCGTCTAAATACAGATTAAATTGTACAGTAAAAATGTTTCTGAAATGTTTACCTTCCTTTAAAAGCTGTAATCTTGAGAAAAGCCTTGTTCTTGCATTCCTATATAAAGATAGATGAATGCTGGAGCAAACAAACAGTATTACGAAGGGTATGTTTTTGTATATCATTTTTCTTATACCTTTGTTGGGTATGGTAACTTGCAATGAAAGGGTTTCAAATTCATTTCAGACCAAGGCGCTTCTTTCGTATACTTTATAAGCGCCCTGTTTCAAACCGTATCAAGATATGAGTGTTTGGAAACAAGGCACTCATGGAAACCAGAGTTAATAGAATATACTTGGTTTGGAGACTAAATAAAATTCAATACAACTCATTAACTATGTAATTGTCTAGGTTTATGCAAAAAATGGTTCCTTTCTCATCATGTGTCTATTGTATTTTAGCCAAACGTACCAATGGCATTGGTCTTGCTAAGCCCCTCAACCTTGACTTGAAAAATATGTTAATTATAAGATTATTATTGGTTTATCTGTGCAAAATACAATAGACATGTGATGAGAAAGGTACATATATTTTGCATTAATCTACCTCAACATAGTTAATGAGTTGTATTGTAGTTTTATGTGGTCTCCAAACCATGTATATTCTAATAATTGTGTGTAAACCCAGCACATAATAATATATATCAAATTTTCACTTCGATAGCAACCAATTCTGTTCGAAGAAAGCCAATTGGTAAATTTTGCTTTGTAATTCCCTCTTATTATCCATGATATTCATATCAACACTTGAAAGCGATGTATAAATTCTCTTTTTTAATTAAGCGCCATAAGGTTGGGGGGGGGAGAAAGAAGCGATGCAATGTAAAACCAGATAGATCTACTGTATAGTGTCACATAAATAGCTGAACAACATATCGACCAGTACCTTGAGCTTATCCTCTTCTAGTTTAGCAAGTGAGTGAATTTTCTTGTTTTCTAGTTGTTTACTGGCGAGCTGAATGGAATTATTTCAAACGTCAATGGTATATATACATAAGAGAGGGTAAATCAATTACGATTTTGTCGCACTTCACTCGATGTAGGTAAATTCTAAAGGTTTTTTCTCAACTGTCCTGGCTTAAATCGAGTTGTGTATGATTCCACTCGCATTTAAGACCCTTTAAAACTCTTCAGTATATATACATATATGTAACACATTTATGGAAAACTGGCATTAAATAATATATTATTATAATACATTTATGGAAAACTGGCATGAATTGTTTGATTGATTGGCAAAATATAATCATATCATTTATACAAAAAAAATAGTTTAAACACTGGGGCCGGTTGTATAAAACTACAATTTGAGTAGTTAAATCGTAGTTAACTCAGTAATACACGACTCTCATAGTCTCATCGGTCAATTCTGTCACTAACTATAGTTAAAAGTTAACTACGTTTTTATAGAAGCGGTTCCTGCATGCTAGGTCCAAGGGTCGTGCGTTACCGCATATTTTAAAAAAACTGAAAGGGAAATTCCATGTTAAATCAAGGATTCACTAAAGGCCTTTATTGTATGTTCTAAACCTTGCACAAAAGAGACAGGAAAGCAATAGAGATATACAATATTCTGTGCTAAATATGCTGAGTATTTTGATCTCTCACTAAGAAGACAGTAAAACTGCAGTTCGCAATTGTTTCTTCATTTTTTTGGGAATCTAAAAACTGTTCTACAGTTATGCACACAGAAAATTTTTAACAATTTTAATATGTCTTCTCTTAAAATCATTTTTCATTCACGAAGTGCCCATATACCACACGGTTGCCCATTTTTGAATATATCAAAAGGTATCTTAGAAGACTTTGCAATACATTTGTGACTGCAAAAATTTTGTCTCGATGGATTTATTAGCCTTTAAAGTTACTGGACATGACGTCAAATCGGGAATTTCGTGCAACTTAAACAAAAGAAAACTGATTTTCATTGCCGTTATACCTACACGCGCGATCAAAATTCCACATTCAAACACATTTAGCGACATATATAGATAACGAAGTTCACAGCTCTTACCATTTCGTTAAGAGCATCCCTTTCTATAGTTGTCTTTTCAGCCTACACACGCACAAAGAAGAAAGACGTTCAGAGAACGGTTGTACAAAGTTCAACCTACTGTATTATCGGATAGTGATTTTTTGAATCGCTCAATTGGTTCATTATCTCATACACACTAATACCAATACTTCCACTTACCACTTTTAGTACTTCACTTAGGGTGTTTTGCGCGGCAGCCTCCCTTTGCTGAAGATGGGAACATTGCTCCTTAAGAAGTACAGTCTTACGCTCATTTTTTCTAAGATAGAATGAAAAAGCATCTCTTCAATATACAGTGAGAAACAAGCAAAAGAAAACGCTTTGCAAGTGCAGACGATGCTCAAATCTCAAAATGTGATGACTTAATTCTGGAACATACTGAAGACAGACGACAATTCCATTATGAATGCATGCAAAACGATATCGAGCTTTCGTACAACCGGGCACGTGTGATGTGTGATGTGCGACGATACCTTTGAACTTCTGTGAAACTATGAATCTCTCTTTCTAATTGCGCATTAACCAACTTACAATCTGCAATGAGACAGAAAATTATAATAATGAAAACAACATTGCCTGATGTTTCCCCCCAATCGAGGAACACAAGGAGAGGATCAACTATAGCGTTGAACCACTTTTTGGCATATTATTTAATTCCTTAACTATGGAAATGTAATGATGTACAAAAGTTGAAGACGACGAGTGGGTGAGACCAGTAGCGTAGCCAGCCCGACAATTTAGTTATGCTATGCTAATATTTTGGTGTTCATTGACTGTGAAAACAATGAATTTGTAAAGAACTGAATAATGATAATAACATAAAATTTGCATAGCATGACTAAATCGTCAGGCTGGCTACGCCACTGGGTGAGACTAAAATGTCATATTCACGTACGTATATAGGTCCGTATCCGGACGATCTTTAAATCACTGTTCGAAACATGCCAATTACTGTAAGATCTGTTTGACCTCTAATGGACCGCAAGTGCTGTAAAACAACTTGCTGAGGTTATAGACATAGTTGCAATGTTACCTGCTAATTGCACCGACAGATTGTTATTTTCATTTCGCACACTCTATAACGAAAGTGGAATAAAATCGTAACTACGAAAGCAAGAAATAATTGATGGTATTTAAAAACTAACCTGCAGCTGAGAAGCGAGGGAGTCGATTTCTTCTTGCGTCTTTTCCCGTAATTCACTCAATTTTCTAAGAAAAGAAACACCACATGAGAATGGAGAACCAAAGAGAATCATCGTGATTCTGAGAAAGGTGGAATTTTTGTTTGAAATAATTTAGAACCGCGACTGGCCAATTACCGCGTGTATACTTAACCAAGGAATGATCCAACAGTGAACCAAATATTGGTAAATAATTGTAAAATTGTCGCAGTAAACAACTCACGTGGGTGCATTAGAAAATTAGAAATATGTCGACTAATGAATTAAACAAAGAAATACCTATCTAGTAAACTAATCTAAAAGTGAGAAAAACGACAAAATATTTCCACACCTTCGGCTATCATTGACAGTTACTAGATGCTCTTCAACAGAAATGTGTTTCTTCCACTGTGTCAAGGATTCTTCTAATTCTTGCTTGTACTCGTTCAAAGTCGTATTCATAACTTCTATTTTCGACTCATAACCGCTTTTCTCTACTTCAGCCCTCTCGCATTGTTGGGATAACCGAGTCACTAAAAATGCATACATCAATTGCATACATCATAAAAGAATTGACGACGATGTCTGTCGCCTGTCATGATCACTTGAAATGACATGGAAGTAGTTTCCAAAGTATAACGAAAAAGAGTATGGAAATATAATTATCACGGATAATCCTGTAATTTCTAAACCAACAATTTAAGTACCTTCTCCTTTATAGAATGCCGTGAGCTCTTCTAACTTTTGGTTTTGCAACTCTTGACGTTCCATTAACACTTCATTTTCACTCAAAACTAACTTGCATTGTTTTTCCAATTGTTGCCTAGTGGATTAGAAAATCTCGTGAGAAAATAAAACTTTCGAAAAAAAGGCAAGTGGCTTGTTGCGAGTAGGTCAATATGCGGCTAATCATGAAAATTTTCTTCTGCACAACTTTTTAAAACTATTTGCAGAAGTATAAAGATTATTTATACGGGCAATAATGAACTAATTTTGCAGTTTTGTGCAATTCATTCTAGCGTCATGGCCGAGGCAAATGAAAACATCGTCTTCTGGGAAAAATTACTCTAGAAATGAATGTAATTATTTAACCTATATATACAGCCTCATACTGACAAGGAAGTCTTCTATGACAAGCTTTTATGTGATAAGCTTTAATTGTTCGTCTGTACGCCCAAGATTTTACACAAGTGAACTTCCAGCTGATCTGAGTTCATGACGTCATAAAGCGTCTCGACAAAACAGAGTTATCATGTGCCTGGTGTTATTAAATTGTCATTATTTTTCCAACTAATAGTATAAAAGGTGGAAAATTTAAATTCTAATAAGCAGTTGGGGAAAAAATAAGCGTGTTTTCACATAAATATAATAAAATTATTTGATATTTTCGAGTGTCGAAGTCATATGCAATGAAGGAAATGATAATCCAGTTTTGTGGAAGTTCTGGTTTTGTCCACAGGAAGTTCACAGTTTTATCCCATACAATTCTTATAGACACTCGTATTAAGAATGTATACATAATTTTTAGTGTAACATATAATTATATACTTTTGAATGTAAAGGTTATTATAATTCAGCCTTCTATAAAGCTGTAAGTCATAACTTTAATAAACTATCTATCTATCTATCTGGCTTCTGATTGGTTCATTTTTATACCCGGATCAGCTGGTTGTCACAGAAAAATCTGTAAAAATTGGGCGTACAGACAAACAATTAAAACTTGTCATAGAAAACTTGCTCGGCTGTAAGAGGCCTAAAGGTTGAATGGTTTTCTGGTAGATTCCCCTCATTTAAAATTTTGCCTTAGGGAAATATTGAAACGTACTCACCATTCCAGCTCGTCATGCATTTTTGATTCTGAGTTTCGAAATTTCTAAAAATAGAAAAATGGTATTTCACAGCGAAGAAACGAACGATTTTATAATCGGTGATCTGGTTTTTCATTTTTCGTCAAAAACTGCAGTTAAATTTTGAATAGTTGTAGACACATTTTTTTCACATTTGTTGATCAGTTCGTGTTACGCACGCGCAATAGTTACGGGTAGGAATAAAATGTACGTGCATTTGCAGTCAAGAGCAGAGAAATCGCTAGTGGGAAACTAGCTTAATGACTGCGTATATTTCTATATTTATACCTCTTCTAGTTTTACATTCTCGTCCATTATTTTATGAAGGCGCTCTTTGAAATTTTTTAACTGCTCCTGAAATGTAACAAAAACGTACATGAATCATACATTGATCTAATAACGCACTGGACAAATGTGTGAGGTGAGATCCCATAAACCCCAGCACTCTCTCGTCCCCCCCCCCCAGGACATGAAACTGGATATTCTCTTCGTAATGATAACTGACAATGTCTGTTTATAGCAAAACATAGGACATGTAGGTTAAGTAAGAGTTTTCTTATGGCCGGGTGTCAGAACTGTCTAAATTCATAATGTGTGAATAACAATAATAGTTAAAGGAGTGTTTGCTTTTTCTCATATGCTATACCAGTGTAATTTAGTTCTTAAATGCAAAAAAGATATCTTTTGAATAAATTTGAACCCGAGTTGAAGTTAATGAGTTCACGACAACCAGGTATATAATCCATCGTAATTATCGCTACTTTCATTGATCAAATTTGAACCCCTAAATCGGGCGTTCATTGCTGTTCGGAAGGTTCGGAAGTTAATGGACCTTCTGCATAATAGACGAATTTGTAGCTGGTGCATGACAAGAATTAGGAAATAAATCATCACAGTTAATTTGCATTTAGTATAATTGCAAAGTTTGGCTGCTGCAAAATGTCAAATATCAACTCATTTAGTTACACACTACCGGCCGTAATAAAAAGCATCGAAAATTGCCAACTTTACATTGCTCTATATTCCGTAGATTCGCAGCCAAACTATAATTTTAGTAATTTTACTAAATTTAGTATGCACTTTTCGGAAATTGCATCAATCAATTTTGCAAAGGGTCGACTAATTTATTTCAAGTTTCATTCATGATTTGTATAATTGCTCTATCCAGTGTATTGACAGATTAGAGGTATTATAGGAGGTTTGGCGAGAGCAGTTAAAACTTTCAGGTGTCACGCGCGGTCTTATATACAAAGCACATTTTCCAATCTACATTGGCGAAAAGAAGTTTAATAAGCTGCATATACTGTATAGCATTACCAATCTATTAAAAGTGGTAGAATACGTAATAAAAATTTGACGATACAAAATCTATCTTCAGCACATTTACCTCGTAGGTCTGAATTATTGCTTGATTCTCTTTGATGCGGTCGTCGTACGCAAGCATTAGCGGAGCCACAAACTTTTTGTTTACCTGCAACAACGATGACAGTACAGAACAATTAATGTTAGGTTTGAAGCTAACTTTGAAACTTATGAAAAAAATGTTAGGCTTTAATACTTGTATTTCGAATAATTCTCGTAATATATTCCTGATAGTCGACACTCTTTAATACATTGGCAACCTTAAGTTGCAACCAACGAAAATCGCACCAGTAATTGCAACTGTAAACGGGCTTTTATGTAATAAGAATCGTTGCAGTTCATGACATACTTACAAGCCACTCTGGTAGGTTACCCTCATTAACAAACATCTGGTCAACTTCCTAAAACATTTCAAATGAATAAATATTTGAACGGGGTGTTCGTTAAACTTCAACTTTGTAATTCCCCAATTAGGGAAATGTTGTAGAGACATTTTGAGCATGGAGCAATCGCAAAGCATACCTGAGGCGAAAGTGGGCGATATTTAGCTTGATAACGACCAAGTTCCACGCTCAGCCTATGAACTGACAACGAAAATTGTTAAGGAATAACCAGAGTGGGGCGTCTAGCATAGCGAACGCCATAAGATATACAACACTATAACCTCTTGATCTTAAGTTTCGATCTATTAGGGCCCAGGACGGCTTTTTTTATATTATAGACATGCAGTGTTACATTTTATGGTACGGGGTATATTATTAGATAATTTTTGACAAAACCAATAGCTAGCGTTGTGGTCATTGACGATGAGTAACTCGGAACGTAATATTAATGGAGGCAAACGCTGTCCACGCTTTGCAGATTCTTTGAATATTGTGCCGCAAAGAGGAACGTCACAGTAAGCTAAGTCATATCGGCATTATAGTATGATAGAAAACATGGAAGACACTCCAGTTTAATGCTTTATTAGCGTAAGAGTACTTTACCAGAGTCCTTCAAGAAGACATTTTCCCGTTTCAGTTCCTCAATTTGCATTTGTAACAGATTAGATGAAGTACCTGAAAAGCAATTATGCTGCCATGCAGATCATGTTGTCCTAGATTTTAGCGGCAAACGTAAAGTTTCAGGGTGTACTACAGTATCTCTGGGAGATAAAAATACGATATTCTTGCAAGCACGTAGGATTATTGTATTCCACGAATGTAGAACATTGCTTCGCGCACTGCACCGGAGTTATAGCTGTGCCAAACTAATAGTAGAGCTGTGCTTTCTCACGTAGCTCACGAGCTCCTGTCTTGCTGAAAATAGACAAAAAATATACCACAAAGAACAGTAATATACCTGAGCCAGGCGTCTCAATATTTTTGACAAAAGATTCGTTTAGCTTTTTCAAACTCGTGTTTTCTTCCGATAAAGATTGGCTGAGTGCTTCCAAAGCTGACTTCTCGCGATCCAGTGTTTTAACCTGAAGATAAAGTTTCCGACATGCTTCCTTTGCCATTGTCGTAGACATTTGTTGCAAACTAGTAGTCTTAGACTTATTATTGTCTCGATCAACTTCAACAGAATCTGTGTGGCTCTCCTGCGAAAGATAAAAAGTATATATATATAGCAAAATATTGGCGGACTACTGCAAGTAAAGCCTGAGAGCGCTTCGCTTCGACCTTGCGTCTAAATATACAGATCCAGATGAATATCCGAAAGAAATTGATAATGAGGTACAATCCCTATACTCGCGCTCTTTCATAGTCCCCGCATGTACACAGTTGTCCTAGTCATCTTCGTGTAAGTGTAAGTTGAGGGGGTACCAATAGGGTTTCTTGTGAAAACTATATACTCAAGAGAGATGATTAAGCTTAATTACGTTCAACTCCTAAAGTGTGAAATCTTCATATTATTCTGTATCGTTTAACAATACTTTCATGGGCTCTATTTGTTCTACACTGATTTCAATATCTACAACTTTAAACTATAATACGCACTGTATATATGGAGGCTGCTCGAAAAACATCAAAGAGAGACAATCATGCACTCATAACACCTTTGTTTTCATAACTATATTTGACCGATCTATCAAACTCGCACAGATAGTTTATTTGATCGGGAAATCTCAGATTTCGTTCCCCATTAAATAAAAGACATAAATAGATCACACTAACCTGACGGTTTTCATTAGAATCAGGGATTGTTTCACAATGAGAAACGTCTTCTCTCGACCTACTCTCACTTTCCAAATATGGAGTCTCCGAAGCATAAGATCCTTTCGTTGACAAAGCACGCAACTTGTTAGCAACTACGAGTTGTTGTTGTACCAACTGGGCACTCTGGGAAAAACGTTCACGATGCCCTTTCTTCTGCTTGGCTGAGTTATGTTGTTTTTCTGATGGTTTTGGTTCTTCTAAATGGTTTCCTGTCTTCTGTTTTGATTTGCGTGACTGTTTGCCAAGTTTTTGTCGTCGTTGATGCTTCAATTTCTTCTCTTCCCGAAGGTCTTCTGATGTACCATGTTTTTCATCAAATTCTAACGTTTTTCCTGAACGTGCAAGTGTATGCCATCTCTCCTTGTAAGAATTAATACTTTCCGTACTTAATCCTTTACCAATTGGTGCTTCTCGTTCCCCAATGGGCGACACATCGGACGAATAAGCCGCCAGATCCGAGGCCGAAGCCCCTAGTGGTGTCTCTTTTCTCCCAGAATGTAAGACTCCAGGGTAGACATCGCTGAAGTTATGTATACTGGTCTCACGAAGTTGGTCGTCTTCAACGCTTGCACGACTGTCAAAACTACCAGTTTTATTAAATCGTTTATCTTCGACCCTAGTAGCATGGTCAAAATTACCACTCTCCACCAATTGTTCGTCTTCAACCCTGGCAGGGCTGTCAAAGCTACTAGTTCCATTAAATTCTTCGCCTCCCACTTGGGGAGGACTTTCAAAATTCTCTTCCGTTGTCTGTTCGTCACGCAGTCGAAATTCATTCTGCAAATTAGTTTCAAAGTCTGTGGAGAATCTGTCTTCAATGAAATCATCCATAAATTCAGATGTCAAAATATTGTCATTTAAATCTGTTTTCGTAACTGTCTCGTTTTCAATCTGCTCTGAAATCTTTCTTGGTGAATTTCTATAATTAACAGCAATATGGCATGTTACCTTTAAAAACTTATATATGCACAAAAACTTATGATCATTTCCATTGGCTGAACTTTACAATACATTTCTGTTTTAATCAATAGCATAGTTTTGTTCTTTAGAAAGCAAAGAAAAGCATTATCCAATTAGACGAAAGCTTCCAAGCACTGCGACATGACCCAAATGTTTGGTCGAACCACCGTATACAGCTCATACGCGGTGGGTATAGCAAAAAACAAAATCGCCAACAGTTTTGCATTAGCAATCATTAGCTGCTAATGCAGGAGAAATTAAAACAATAAGTACAGTATAGTTCCAAGATATCCAAAACAAATCTACAAAATATGAGATTACGCACTTTTTTGACTTATCTTTACCGCTTTTTCTTTTCTTACTGCTTTGTTTCCTGGGATATGGTTTAGTATCAGGATGATTGACAGCTGTACTTGAATCATCATCAGATCCCATTCCACTAACACTGGTTATGTCATCATCACTGCCAGAACTGGCATGGATATTGATTTCTTCTTTCTATATACCAAAAGAACATGCATGTTCAAGGCAATGACCATTATCCTGGATAGACTGAGTTTATGAGGAACTATAGTATCACAGAATAGACATTATAATTCTAATGTATAATGTCTATTCTGTGCTAGTATTAAAGCTAAAGTTTCGCGCTCACTTTTCGCAGCTGATCTCTATACAGTAGCTGAATGCAATATATCATATGTTTTACTACTAAACCGCCTGGGTACGAGGCTGTATATGCCTAGTTGTTGAACGGACATCAAATTAGATCATAGATCAACTGTTACCTGTGATTTTCGGTTCTTGTTAACTTTCGCATAAATTGGTTCTACTGGCGGGTTTTCTGCACTCTCCTTATCTTTATCTACAATCTGACCTCTACGTTCAGCAACTAAAGCATCATCCACTGTGGCGTAATGTCCTTCTGACTCATAGTCCTCGTTCATGTCTAAAGTTTCATTCGAAGTTCCAGCATTCTCATTCATACTCCTTCTTGGGCTCTCCCCGACGACAATAGCCTGCGCTAAGTTGCCAACACTTCCCAACGCCGTTGACAATGTAGACAGGTTCTTCTTCCTTCGCGGCCATGTTTCAGAAAAGCTACGAGCTGTGCTTGGAACAGCTGCAAAGATGGCGCCTGGTACCAGACAAGCTCCGATGCGGGACTAAGATAAAAAAAGTTTATGTCATCAGGAATGAGGAACGCAAGTCTATTAGTGAAAAGACGAGTCTTGTGAAATGACTAAAATGGTGCCATGTAGCTATAATGATCAATATATATCCTGTGCGGCTATACAACCAACATTTTACCATTGCACGCATTCTACTCCAAATTCCCAGTGGATTTACTAATCAAGATTTCAAAATCAGAGTTGCCTCTTACATTATTATGACATACTGTAACTACACAGAAACAACACGAAAATTGAACCGGATTCTTGTGTAGGCCTGATTTTGCAATATACGAGCGCAATATCAGCAGGCCACCAAACTTCCACCTGTGTGATCAGCATTAGGTGCAGTGATGCCTAACTGCAAGGGCCGTCGCTAAATTACTAGCGACGTGGATTACTAGCGACGTGAATAGTAGCATCCATGAATTAGTTACGAATGTTCAAGTTCAAATAGGAGCTCGTACACATGAGAGCATAATTATTCATTCTTATTACTCATTCACATCCATCAAAAGAAGAAAATCAAACATAAAGTCGCAGGAAACATCGCAAGTGTGAACGGGCCTGGCCTAAAGCCGGTTTTCCACTTGCGAAGCGAATTTATTCTTTTGTATTTGAGCAATTTGTTCAAGATGGTCGCAGATGACCGCTCTGAAACAAAAATAAAATGTTGCTTCGCGCGAAAATTATCGCTAATGGAGAACTGGTTTTAAGCCGTTCTTACAGTAGGTGGAATTTTTCGACCGAACGAAATTTCTCGTCTGATACTCTTTTTAATTGTGAGAATTAAACCGCAGCGGATTCCCTTCACTGGTCACCGTCCCCGCGCGTAAGCAAACAACGCGCGAGAATGACGAATCTCGTACTCGTAGTCGTACTCGTAGTCACTGCTAAAGCTCCCTATTAGCGCGTGTCATTCTGCGAGACAAAAATTACGCAAATATATCTTTGATTATATAAAAACAAAAACACGATGCCTTAAGGCACTGTTGCACGGTGCAATTTTTGAAAGATGTAAATTTGGGAACCACGAAAATTGTGTCTATAACTTTCCATGGATAATTCTTACAGTACTTCACATTTTCAAAACGCATCACTAATTCCCATCTCTTAAAAGTATACAGGTATTACATTGCATTGCAATTCGTGTAACACAGCCTTTAATTGGAGTATATTTATATATTCATGTTCACATAACCCTAAAACAACCGCTATCTAAGAAATCAGTCAAATGTGGATTAGCATGTGTATAACTTTCAGGGCAATTTGAGGCAACCTTGGGTAGAATTGTTGAGAGGTTAATGTTCAGGTTCATGTTCAGAGATTCATCGCAGCAATTTTACTTCTTATATAATAACAGTTCTAAATAAATACTTCTTGATCTTTGTTCTGAAAAATACTAAACATGGGATATATGGGCAATTACAAATCAACTAAGTAGCCTACACTCATTGCTTTAATCAAAACCAGTAAGCATGCAAAAGCTGGCTCTGGACCCTTTCTTGATATATTAGAATAATCCATTTGCAGTTTTAAAAAGTACACTTGTTTGACATATGACAGGATTTAATCTATAAGTCAAAATCTTGAACACATTCCAGAGTGGACCATTCAAACACTGACATGGAGATGTTGATTGTGATAAAATACTGAAGTGCACAAAAACTGTAATCATGTTGCATTTCATCGATCATCATTCACATAATCTAATTCTCAATATAGAATCTAATTCTAATCTAATCTAATTCTCAAGATTATCTAAGTTTTATAAAAGGTGGGCAATTAATATTAGATTGAATGATTTAATATTAGATTAAATTGATGCATCGATTCTACCTTTATAATGAATACAATTGGTTCGTATCCTGAGCAACCTGGTTCAGATTATAAACCCTATATTGTAATAATATAGGGCTAATTTTATATACAGGGTGTCTTAAAAATACTAGAACAAATTGATTTATGCTGGCATTCCAATTTAGCATACTAGCATACATACCAAATTGATATGTGTATACTAATTAATAATGAGCAAAATAAGCTTATTTCAAGGCATGTGAACAATGTTTGGGTTATATAATTTTATGTGACACATTGTATAATTATAACAAATACAGATTTAATTAGACTTTATTGAGCTTCATTGTATGTCTATCTGCTCAAAACTAGTCATCTTCAAAAAGTTAAATGAAAACAATTAAATGCTCTATCAAATTGAACATATAAGATTTTTACAATACTAACACACATACATAGCCAAATGATTGCTAGCCTGGCCTACAACCAGATACTTAAATATGAATAGAAGACTAAAACAATTATCTTTATTTTAGTGCTTGCTAAGTCTTAATATGGATTGACTAACAAGCTTTGATTGATCAATTAACAACATTACAGGCTTTTATATATGCATGTAAAAAATTCAATAGAGGAAATGTACCTAGTTTATTTTTACTTTCGGAGAATTTGAAGAATGAAATGTAATTGATATGAAAATAAACATAAAATAAACCTCTTCAGATGAAATTGCATCTTAATAGGTAAAAGCTCTAACATCTTAAGAAAGGATGAAAGAACTAAACTGCAAGATTTAATAGAATTGGTGGAAGCTAGTCACAGAGGTTAACCATTAGAGCTCTTAAGTCTGAGTTCTGATTATACATGAATTCATTCGAATATTAAATTACAATTAACTCAAACATATATATTTACATAGAATGTGCACATACAGCGACAAATGTTGTAGTAGATTACTTTGCCGAAGTAAAATGCAAAATTTCCACTGGGAAGATAGCACAATTACGAGAGTTAGCCAGTCGGGCTGATGAAATAATGAAACTTTCATAGCTCGGATAAAACAAATGTAACAAAATTATGACAAGTATTGGGGAATATATCCCCTGATCGTTCCAGACGACTAAGTTCTTGGTCCTGTAACAGAATATAATGGAATTATATTTACCAAAGATAGTCCGGAATGCTTTTCTCTCTTCTTCTTATTACCCATATCATTTCATTGTGTTATTATTTTTAAAATCAATCGATATAATTTGACATATTGTTTCAAACTGTTTTGAAACTATTAAAATTTTTCTCGTAAGGAATTTTAAATTAGGTCCTAGTACTTTTCCTTGCTTGGACGCCAAGATCGTTTCTATAACAACCAACTGGGCTATATATAGACACTGTAAAATGACATAAAATGTTATCCAAATCCAACCAAGGGCCGTTTTTTCAAAAACCGGTTACCTTCACCCTGGGTTAAAGCGAATCCTTTTATTATTTTTTTTAATAAACATTTTTTTAAGTACATGAACTAAAACACTGGATTAAAGATTAACCCTGGATAAGCGCTAACCTGCCTTTGAAAAACTGGACCCTAGCGAACACAGTGATAGAGCTCATTAGGCGAACCTGGCGAGGTTTGGTTCACTTGGCTGTCGTCAAGATTCAAGCACCCGACCAAAACAAGCCTTAGGAAGAGCACAGAATTTGGGACGATGTAATTCCGTTGTACTCGTACGCCTCAACAATGACGTAATTTTAACATAACACAATCGATAAAATCATAAAAACACACTCCGTCAAAGTGCGAATCGCAAAGACAAAACCCCGGCACAATTGGAGGAAAAATAAATTGTCCACAAATTTTCTACCGCATTATGATAAGGCAGATCTGCTAAAATTGTTTTTAAATCTAAATTTTCTTCCGTCTTATGATCAGCTAAATTCTTTTAAATACAAGAGCAAAGTAAATCAACTCATTCCTGAACAACTTATCCCTTCCTATAAAATTTGAGGAATTGAATTTAAGATATATAATGAATAAAAAGAACAACTTACGTATTGTGAGGATTCCTCCGTGACATATAGATTTTTAATTTTCTTTCTAAGATTTTGTCCTTTCACAGAACAGTATGTTCTTTTTCCTCGCCGATGACACGTGGTCTCCAAGACGGGCGAGGGAAACAAACGGAGACGCAGCGACCGAATCAGCCACTTCAAATTATCGCATTGAGAAAGGTTTTTTGAGCGCAGCTCCTGCAAATGCGACTAGTCGGTTTGCAGTCTGAGTCAAAAATGAAATCATGAATTGTTACGAAAACTAATATAATGAGTTGATTCGCGATTGATGATGTCATTAATATTGCAGCGTGCGCAACAACCTGGTACCCAGGCGCGCAAATCCCGATAGACTTTTTCATAGATCCCGGTAAAATCTTTAATTACTTAAGGTTTTTAAAGAGTCAACTGGTTTGAATTGAATTTTGTATGTTTCCACTCGAAATTAAGACCCTTTGAAAACCTTTAGAATTTGCCTGCATCGAGTGAAGTTCCACAAAATCGTAATTGATTAACCCTCTTTAATTTCTTAGTATGCATTACGCGCAGCGCAGATTTTTATTTAGTTAGCCACGCATCAACCACAGCGCATTTTTTTCAGCTACCTCTGTAGCTTTGTAGCAAAAGCATTTCACCGGCATCCCAATGCTGTTGGTTCAATTCTTGCCGGATGACCGATAGTTGACCATTTTCTTCAACTGTTCCTAGCTTGAATTTGGATTCTTTATAATATATGATTCTCACACGAATTTAAGACCATAGGAAACTATACCTGCATCGAGTGAGATGCCACAAACCTTGATTGATTTAAGGTGTTATATTACAAGGTCGTGAGGATGATAAAGGATAAGAGGATGTAAGATAATAGAATAGACATAACAGACACAAAACAAGGGGGAATATATTAATAAAGAAGGCGGTCAAGTAGAATAGAACTGCCTTTGATGTTAAGTGAGGGCTTTAACGTAAGTAGGCTTTCGTGAATCACTAGTTCATAATTAGTAGAGCATGAGCAATGAAGCAAGATTTTTTAAATGGTCTACGACACTGAAACAAGGATTTATACTTTATTTTTTCTCACAAATATTGGCTAGGAGGTGTATCGTGTTTAAAAAAGTCGTCCATTCTCCATCATTATTTATTAGGTACGTCTGGTGTTCGTATAACTATGATCCCTGCATTCATACAACTCTCTTCTTACTCAGAATACTGCATTCATACAACTCTTTTCTTACTGAGAATTACTCAGAATATAGGAAGTATATAAAGTTTAAAGTTATCCAAAGTTAAAGAAAACTTTTTTTGACAGTGGACTAATTTAAAGTCATTAAAGTCGGCAGAGTGTCCTGTGGTACTATTATTGAGTCCCGTGGTGAGAAATAAGCATGTCTTCATGTCCGCACGATTCGTGGATCACACTGATCACAAAATAAGCGTTCGATTTTAACAGCTTTTTTAAAATCTGGAGACGTGAAAGAAGCTTAAGCGTACGTGCATGCCATGGTTTTGATCAAATTCTCATTTGGTCATCTTTTCTGCGAACATTCTCATTTAACAGCAAAAAGTATAGTCTCTCGTATTACGGAAAAAATGCGTTCGTTGATGAAGTAATTTATATAAGTATACAACAATGAGCTAAGGTTAGATTACTTTTTCAACACAATCTGTATACTACTCTCTTTATGATTGGAATTGGGGGCATGGGATTTTTCAAAATTTTTATGGATTAAAGTTTATTTTACCTTGCATGATTTAAAATTGATCCAGCTTACCAGGAATGCCTGTCAATTTAAAATGTGGGAATAAATTTTCCGACAAAATTACGTCCAATGACACGGCGTGTATACATTTAACTTTATTGTCTTATTCTTTTTTAAATGCCCGGAAAGATTTTTTACACCATGATTGGGATATATGAACCATATTAAAATATTTTAAAAAGTTTAAACTAGATTACAAAGAAGAAACAAACATATTATTTGATTCTACAAACCACGCTCATTTGTGTACAATTGTTCTAATAGCGCAATAAAAATTCTGATGTTAAGTATAGAAATGAATAAAGTGAAATTAATGAATGTAAAAATATTGATTGGATATAACACCATATATAATTAGCCAGACTCTTAACACTAGCAACTATTGCAGTCGAGGATTTTGAAAATTATTTGTCCATAAGCTTTTCTGTATTTGATATGCCTCATTCCGTAGATGAAAGCGTTTACGATCGAGTTTATGCCATATAACTCGTAGTTAACAAACACGAACCAAACATACCGGCATGAATCACTACATTCCTCGTATATAACGCTTCCAATAACTGCTGGTAGAAAACAACAGATCACCAACACTGTGATAACAATGGAAAATGTTTTCGCTTCTGCAAACGCTCGAAATAGACGAAGTACAACTCTCATACTGCCTGAATGTTCGTTGTGCTTGCTGATGCCTGCGACCATAGATTCATCAAAGATTCTTCGGCGTTGTTTTCGAGAAACACTTAAAATTCGGAAATTCAGAAGAAAAATGAAAGAAAGAGGAATGTAGAGGAAAGTAAGCAATAGAAATTGCCGGATCTTAACAAGCAGTGATATTCGGCAAATACTTCTGATCCCAATTTTAAAGCTAAAAAAATGAAAGTAAATTGTAACATAAACACAACAAGCAGCTAACCAGATTCCAGAAATAACCAGGAACACTCGTCGACGTGTCACAATCAGAGGATATTTCAGAGGTTTCACGATATATAAATAACGATCAACAGTAATTGCGAGAATTGTAGCCACTGAAGCAACTACTAAAGACCAGATCGTGGCACTGCTTAACTTACAAAACAAGTCCTGATCACTCTCAATGTTTAATATAGTCTGAATTAACTCGATGATCCATAGTGGATAAAATGTTAAACACACGAGAAGATCCGCAAATGCCAAGTTTGCTATCAAGTAAGATGTCGCTGTCTTTTCTTTACACAACAAAATTGTGTATATAATAACTGTGACATTTCCCAATACTCCAATAATCATCGCGATAAATTTGAAAACAACTGAAAAGATGAGAACACTGCTGGCAACGGGAATGAGAAGTGTGTTGTTAGTCATTCTAGGTTTCTTTTGCCACAGTTACGTTGCTTTTAGGCTTCGCCTTTAAATATACACCTGTGCGTTGAAGGCAAATTGACGACTAAAATGATAAGTTCTAATCTTTTGTAAGGCAAAAAATTAGCATTTGAATAACCGTCATAAGTGCCTAAGAGAAATTTATTAACTCGTGCACATAAACTCAATATGTTCTTAAAATTTCAGTGTTGCGAAGCAGATCTAATGGTTTGAATTGCTTAATTTACTGTCAGATACTTAGGATGAAACTGGCAAAAAAGCTAAGAAAAGATAGATGTAGAATACAGTGACGTAGCCAGCCTGACAATTTTGTCCCGCTATGTAAATTTTGAGTTATTATAATTATTCATATCTTTAAAAATTCATTGTTTTCACAGTCAGAGCATGAACACCAAAATATTAGCATGGCGGGACAAATCGTCGGGCTGGTTACGCTACTGGTAGAATACCCTCAACAGAGTAAAATAGTCAGTATTCTACCTTAAAACCGCAAAAAAGAATAAAATAATCAGTATTCTATAAACACTGCTGATTTTAAACGTTATATATAACAATCTTAATTATATTCTTTAGTAGGTTGTAAAAAAGTTTGTGTAAACATCTGCGTGAAGCTTTATATAGACTTGAGATATATGCTTAGCTGTATATTTCTTGACCCTGATGCAATGCCTAATGCGATTCGGATTGAATTTTATTCATTGTATATAGGATACAATGAAAGTGTATAATAATACTCCATGGGCATCTAATAAAATATATGTATATAACTCTCAGTGGGCGGTCGTGTAAAATATAGTTAGTATTTTAAAGCCCATTAAAGAATATCACAAGTATACTCTAAAAGTGTACTCTAAAAGCATACTCTAAAATCATTCTAAAATTATCTTAAGCATGATGTATACATTGACAAAATTTATTCTATTCAAAATTCAAATGTTTTCCTGAAAAAAATGCTTTTAATTGAGTCTCAAAAGAATCAACTGTTTCACCACGTCTAATTTCTAGTGGAAGAGTGTTTGATATAAGAGAAGTAGCGTATAAATAAGTTGGCTCGAAGGTTTTTTGCATTTGTTTTCACAATCTTCAGCAAAGCATAATTGTCCGATTCTATGTCCCAACTATCATA